AGAGAGAGAGAGAGAGAGAGAGAGAGAGAGAGAGAGAGAGAGAGAGTACGCAGAACACAATCAGTTGGGTCGAGATCTGATCGAGAGTTAGGCATACTACACCGTCACCAATGACCTATGATGTACAGTAGATACATATATCGTACGCACAGCATGGGTTTTAACTTAGTAATTAGACTTAGTATTTATCTTAGTGCAAATACATGAATGGATAGACGGATGGATGGATGCACAGATGGATGAATGCACGGATGGACGGACGGATGGACAGATGGATGGATGCACAGATACATAAATGGACATACTGATGAATGGATGCATGGATGGGTGGATGGATGCATGCATGCACGGACGGACGGACAGACGGATGCACGAATGTATGGATGCACGGACGGATGGATGGACGGATGGATGCATGCACGGACGGATGGATGGACGGATGGATGGACGGATGGATGGATGCACGGACGGACGGACGGATGCACTGATGGACGGACGGATGGATGGATGCACTGATGGATGGATGAATTGATGGATGGATGGATGGATGGATGAATTGATGGATGGATGGATGGATGGATGGATGGACGGACGGATGGACAAACGGAAGAGCGTGCACTTACGCTGTTCGTGGCATTGCCACCAGTCTTGCTGGGCATCTTGTCGAGGATGTTTGGCTTCTTGTTGACGGTGAGCTGCCGAAGCTGGTTCGACGGTGTGTAGCCTCCCTTCAACGAGATCTGAAACGCGCAAGAGAGACACACATACGTCATCCAGTGATCGAATATTAACTACAAACTAATGCTACTAATACAACGCTACTACTAAACTAACGTTGGTTCTGGACGGTGCATAGCCGAGATCTGAAGCACGCGTGCGAATATTAAAGTGATTACGTCACCGTAAATAGTAAAAAATAAAAATAATATTCTGTTCTCTCTCTCTCTCTCTCTCTCTCTCTCTCTCTCTCTCTCTCTTTCTCTCTCTCTCTCACCCTCCCTCCTCTCTCTCTCTCTCT